TCCTTGACTCCTGCATTCCTCTCATGGCCCCATCAGTTGTTGATGGATAAGGAATGCAGTCGAGATTAATTAGGGGGTGTTTTTTTCCCCTCCCTTTTTTGGGGATATATTATACAGGTTTTATTGTAAGCCGCTTGGATTGTCTGGCAATAAGCGGGATACAAATAAATTTTATTATTATTATTATTATTATTATTATTAATTCTTTCTGCCATGGTTCCATCATATATTCTAACCACAACCTTTTCTAACCACTACATTTTCATCTAAATAAATACATCTAAATTGCTGCCTGTTTCTTACCACATTATATGAAAAAAGTTGGATGGATTTTCACCAAGTTTCACTAGGGGAAGGCCTGCTCTCTGAAGGACAACTGATACCAATGTGAATTGTGAGAGGTGTCTGAGCTCAAAGAGATAGACACTCATCCTCCAGAGCCACTGAAAGCGAATCATCCTTAGCAATTGTGAGCAACTCCACATATTGATGATTATACTATGCAACCCCAATATATGATCTCAGCTGATGCATCTAGTTTCCCTCCCATTCTCCACTGCATATTATATGTTTTAAAACTGCACAAGTTACAAACTCTGGCCAAGATCCTAGATCAACTACTTAGCTGAGTATACTTAACCAGTAGCATTTCTTGGCCTGTCCTCCACCTCTTTGACTTACCAGGCAGCAACTGCTATGAACAACAGAGGTCTATTCTCTATTCAGTCAGGGTGCTACAGATTTCCACTTCCTCCCTCCAGCAATGGAAACATCACTATGCTGTATCCAGATGGATAGAAAAGATCTCCTTCGTTTGCAGCAGCTGCAGGAAAGCAGGGAGGGGATTACAACTGTAGCAGTAATGCCATGTTAGTGGATACATAGTGGCCAGCAATATGAATCAGTTATGGAGGACCCATAACTAAACTACACCTCCATTACTGCAAAAGGGAATTCCAAACTCCCCTGTTTCCCATTTCATCCCTTCTGTTTATGCTGAGATGATCACATGTGGTTTTTAAAGTTCAATTATAGTCATAAAATAGCACCTTTGGTGATACTTATCGCACAATGCCATCTCCAAGCCATAGCTGTTGTGTCTGTGAAGCTGTGGTTAGGGCATCCCTTTCCACTGATGGGGAAAACCCATCAATAAACTACCAATTGTGCTGCAGCCCCATTAGACCTCATGTGTGAAATGTTGCTGCCATGGCAGTTGAATATTGGCAGTCAAGTGGTGCCAGTGTCTCCTCCTTTCTCCTTGTCACTCTCCCCATTGCTATTCCCAGGCAACCTGATTCCCCTTTAATTTTTTTTCTATTTCTTTTCTTTCTTTTTAACTTAAATCACATTAGCAGATTGGCACTGTGTTTTTAAAAAAATAAAATTAAAACAAAACAAAACAAAATGGCATGCAGGGGAGGGCAGAGAGGGGTGATTAAGAGGGAGTCCAGAAGAGAGCACAATGGCTGAAACAGCTCCAGATGTGCAATAATGACTGCTGTCAAACAGGTATGCTTCCATTTTTATTAACTAGCATGATTCCACTGAGAATGGGACGCATGTGATAATGTCTTTAAAGCCTAACAAAACTCCATTTTTCGGGCCCTTTCACACCGCACAGTTATGGCACTATGATCCCATTTTCACCATCATGGCAATATCCTATGGAACCCTAGGATTTTCAGTTTGTTGTTGTTCCTGTGTACCTTCAAGTCGTTTCTGACCCTAAGGTGAACCTATCATGGGGTTTTCTTGGTAAGATTTGCTCAGAGGAGGTTTGCCATTGCTTTCCCCTGAGGCTGAGAGCATGTGACTTGTCCAAGGTCACCCAGTGAGTTTCATGGCCAAGCAGGGAATCAAACCCTGATCTCCAGAGTCATAGTCCAACACTCAAACCACTACACCATGCTGGCTCTGTTTTCAGTTTAAGGAGGGATATTTAGACTCTTCAGCCAGAAAGCTCTAGTGCCTCACCAAACTACATATCTCAGAATTCCATTAGATTTTGGTATGGCAGTTAAAGGAGAATTATAGCACTGTACTGGTGTAATGTGAAAGGTCCCTGAGTACACAATTGTATTGCAGGAGTGGTACAGTACATTGCAAAGCTTTAGGTAGCTTTCTTCCTTGATCCACCTCTCCCCATTTTAAATGATGAAGGAATAAGTATGTATTGTGAAAGATATATTGTCCTTTATTAAAAGAAATAAATTACAGCCAACAATGCTGCATTCAAGAATATCCTCTCATTCTTTCTGGAAATGGGATCTCCTGGGAGGAATTACAGGTGATATTCTTGTATGTGAATCTGCTGTCAAGAAAAGTCAGCAAAAGAAGATGAGATAACTTTTACAGTAACCTGAATGTAGTTTGTCATTAAGTGCAAGCACTTTCTTTTACTTTATTGCTATTTATATTCATAGATTAAATTGGAAAATATTGCTATTGGAGAAGGAGTGCCTTCTCCTACTTAAAAAGGACCTGAATACCATGTATTAGAAGGGAAGTTGATGTAATGGTTTTGCCTTTTAATTTCAGAGAAAATCCATAAAAACCTGACATACTATGACTGATGTCAAATGTAGGTAATTTCAAAAAGGATTATACAATTGGCTCTCCATATCCATGGATTTTTTTAAGGCAAATGTTGTTTTTGCCATTTTCTTTAAGAGAAACCATTTTACTATACC